ATTGGCATATCCAACAACAGAATTTTCTAGGGGCATTCTGAAGATAGCTTCTTTAAAGATTGATCTGTTCAGATATAATTAATGGAATGCCATACACGTACTAAGATAAATTATACATTTCTTTTAATTGCATTCCAAAAATGCCAACACCAAATCTCTACTTGTCAAAAAGCAGCACAGGACTTCCACAGAGGAAAAAAACTCCTTAATCCAGTATCAAATCTTATTCACCTTATTCAACCCTGCAGCTATTGCATCAGCTTGCAGCCACTGGGTAGGAATGAAGACTACTGTTTAAAATTAATAACAATAACTGACCAGCAGATCTGCAGTCCAGCATCACAACCGGGGCATGCAGACCTCTAAAAAAAAGGGATCACAGAATCACAAGTAGCAGTTTGTAGAGATACCCGATTGTCTAAGGAAATATCTGCTGAGATGATATGTTGCTGTTAATGCTCCTAGTGGCTCATCACACAGAACAACATGTAGATCTGTATAGCAGAGTTATATTCCTTTTCTTTTCCTTCATGCTGTCAAAGGAACTTGATCTGCTTGTAGGAGGAATAGACTATCAAACCTATAATGGATCTGCCACATGGTTCTTAGAAGAAACTTGTCTTAAATAAGTAAAGAAGAAAAAATATTTTTCTATACTATTTCCATATTACTAAGCATAGCTTCTTTATCTTACATAGGACTTAGTTACTATTATTTTCATGCATTTGTATTATAGTGCTTAGAGGCTTGCACTGGGGCTCAGTTTCTTGATGTTCATTCCTTATGTGTTAGGCCTTAAACTCACCTAGATTTAGGGAACCTTATGAGAACTGAGATGCTCAGTGCAAGGGTTTTCTACACAGTTCTAGATCTTGAGTGATAAATTAATTTCAGCTGGGTTTCTGTTCTCCCTTCCCTATCCCACCCCCTCATGTAGTATTATGTACAGGAGCTATTGGCCTCTGCTTTAACCAGACTGCTCCACCAATGAGCTTAGTACGCTAGCCCCCAGCAAACCAAGCACTTAAATTTATGTTACAATTTAAGCACACACAAATCAATCACACTGAAATCAAATGGGAAAATTAATCATAGTAATGTATACAAATATATTGATTGTTTTCTAAGTTACCCTTTTAATTATTCTGGAGACTATTTTGTCTCAAATTCCACTACATACTCCTTTTTTTTTTTTTTTTTTTTCTTTGTTTTTTTTTAAACAGGCCCCTTGAACAATCACACAGACTGCTTTGGTCTTTGGACATAACCACTCTAGACAAGGAGCACTAAGTTGTATTTATATTGAACTTGCAAGTTTTAACAAGTGCATGCTATTAAGTAGCTTACAGTAAAAGAGTATACCATCTCCACTCTTGGGAAACACCCAATAGTGTACCTTAGGCCACGGGCATTTAATTATACTTTATACTTATTATGCCCCTTCCAAATCTGCACGACTGCATGCTCTGAAACAAGTGTCATTATTGTTTCCTAGGAAGTAACAATATTCCTTATCCCACTAGGGGGCACTGTGACTCTTCAAATTGTTTATGAATCTGTTTGTGAAGAAACACATTTTTGTGTTATTTTTAGCAAAGTTAAGAGAAATGTTAAAAATGGTTTCTTTAGTCTAAAAGAACATTTTCCCTGAGCAGCTATCGTACTTGAACAATGCACATTCCAGCCTGGAAGAATCAAAATATTTCTATTTTACAGAAGCAACAAAAAATGTAATTTATTAGTTTGAAATATTGTCACTCTACCATTTGCTATGCTATTAAAAGTGAAATTAAATTAAGCACCCATTCCTTTTGTGGCATGAGGATACTAATCTGTTTTATTTCTGGTTCGTTTTTTTATTGATTTTTCCATCAGTATAGAAAGATGGCTGCTTGAAGAGCCCATTAGTAAAGAAGCATTAAAATCAATTAATAACTCCTTCAAATGTGCACGTACACTACTTGAACCATTTCTTGCTGTACCAAAGTCTGAAGAACTAATTTGTGGCAAAGCACAGTGCTCACCTAAGGAGCTATAAAAATAAATAATTTCTAGTTAGGTGAGATGCAGAGGAGTTTCATTAGAGTAGGTGAAGATGCTGAGAAAAACATTTCTTGCTGAGGGAGGCAACAGAAATGTAGACTGGATTCTTTAATATTAATCATTTGACAAATCTGGAGAAGCAGCACGTCCAGGAGCTTATTTGTAATAATGAAAAACATATTGCTAGTCCACCATCAGACTGTGTGTGTTTTAAAACAAATCTGATGCATAAACGCTGCCACCCAGAAAGAAACACATTAACTGCCCATTTTTTCCAACACACCTTCCATAAAAGTACCCAGATTTCTATTGCTAGACAGACCAGAAAGGGAATATTTGATGGAACTTAGTCAACCTCCCGGATTTCACACAGGAAATATTTTCTGCTTGTATGTTATAATTTACTTGCTGTTTCATTATGGTTCCACGGTGTTGACATGCAGTGTATTTTCAACACAGTCATTTCCCAGAGCTGAGCGAGCACTTTGCCTCCAAACATTTAACCTGTTTGTCCTTAAATAGAGGGTTATATATTACAGCTATTGTTGCTTGAAGTTTATCATATTCGGGATAGCAACCCTTCACAAAGGTTTATTAGTATACTTCTCATTTCAAATATGCTTTCTTTCATGGCCAAAATACCATTTTTCCTCACTTTCTGGGCAAACTGTAGAGCTTACAACGAACTGGGTGCATCTACATGTGTGCTTTACTGCAACTTGGCTAATTAGCTCTGCAGGAAAGCATCATTGTGTACATGTACACCAGTATTAGGGCACAGAAAATTAACTAACTCTGCCATAGGATAGTATTGTTGGGGACAGTACTATCTGAGAGCAGAGTAATTAAGTGTGATGAAACTTAGGTGTAGACAGTGACAGGATGCTAAAATGTGGGGGATGCCTGCTGCCCAACTTTGCACTTTAGTACTCTCATGCCCCAGCCAGCCCCTCCACCACCCTACACTCACCAGGAGCCCAGGGCTGACCCTCCTCCCCCTTCTGAGCCTGCAGACAGCCTGGGACTGCTCGGTCCTGGCTCAAATTGTTTCTGTCCTGGGCACATGTATAGAAGCTGTGCCTGGGAGCAGATGACACCAGCTTGAATTGTGCTGGAGTTTATTGTGTTGCATTAATTTCACATGTATATACACCCACTTAGTCAAGACTATAAAGAAGCTGAACCAGTTTGTACCGACCCAACACAACAGTCTGCCCTGTGACAGAACCATCAGAACCCCTCTCCCCCTCCTTTATCTAACTAGGATAGTCTGTTGTCCTACCCAAGAAAGAAGGATGTTTGCTTCCTGGCCACTGAGCTGCACAGATCTCAAGAGATCTACAAAAGAATACTGCTGCAGAGGTCCTCTGCCTCCAGTTCCTTAGCAGCCTGTTTCTACAAGATGTACTCAAAGGTTGAAGGCTGGTTGGAACTTCTTAATCAAAAGGTTTCAGGAAAAAAAAAAAAGAGAGCAAGACTGCCCCAGAGCCAAAAGTTACTACCCTAGAACTTGGGAGACCCAGGTTCAATGCCCTGCCTTGCCAATGACACCCTTTCTAGCCTTGAGCAAATCACTTGGTCTCACTGTACAGAAAAAGCATGCTCATCATTGGCTTCAATTTTATCTGTGATTAAACCTTGATCTGCAATTCCTATAGCACCATTGATGTATTATGTTGGTATGATGGGCATTAAATTTGTATACCTTAAAGCAGCATTTCAAAGCTAAAGCTTTTCTTGTAATCATGCCAGTTTTTGATGAGGAAAGCTTTTTCAGATCCAGAAAAAGAACCCCAAATACCCAATAACCAAGTGGTTAGGGGACTCATTTGGAAATGGGAGATGGGTTCAGGGTGCTGCTTCGAGTCAGGCAGACTGGGGGGGCATTAATTTGGTCTCCCATATCCCAGGTGAGAATCCTGATCCTATGACTTGGATATTCTTGGATTGTTCTTGCCTGTTTTCGTAGAAGTCATCCTGATGCAGAACAGGAAGATATATGAAATCTTGAAATTTGGCCAGGAAAACTATATCATGTCTAGCTCTAATCATTTCCCACCCTTCCAAGCCAGGTAATAGAAAGTCAGAGATTAAGTGAAAGGTGAGGGACATCTGGACTATGAACATGCAAACAAGCTACCACAGCGTAAAAGGTGGGGCAGGGCTTTATCTTGTCACAGATCTTCTGCATTGATTAGGTGTATGTAGACTTGTACCTCATCCAAATTAAGCTACATTGCAGTAGCTTACCTGTCAGTGGGCACGTCTACACGTGCATTACTGCACTTTAGTTAATGTTCATTAAATCTAGCACCTCCACTGTGAGGTATTAGGGAAATGCGCATTAGCCTGTCTTAATGTGCATTAACTAAAGAGCACAGTTGTTAATAATGCTTAATGCACATTAGCTAATTTTAATGCGCATTAACTAAAAAACATGGGACTCCTATACATGTGTGCTGGAGTCTCCTGGAGCATGGTAATTACAGCGTCATATGTATCAGTGTCCTTGCACTGAAAAACCATGGTGGGGGCACTTTAACTAAAACTCTTTCAACGAGCTTTAGTTAAACGTACTCCCACCACCATTTTTCATTGTTGGGACGCTGATATACAAGGTGTTCCTGGTTCTTTAATTTTCTCCAAAAGCTGCTCTAATTTAAAAAGTCCCCCACCCAGGAACATGTATAAACACCCATAGTTTTTAGTGACACTTTAATGTGCATAAATAGGCTAATGCACATTAAAGTGCAGGTGGAGACATGCTCAATGACAGAAGTAATTTACCACTGAACCTGGTGCATCATAAAGCCCTGCTTTCTCCAGGAATTTTGTGACATAGCTTGGAAACAAAAATATTACTCACCAATATAAGAGAGCAGTGTCACATCTACTAATCCAAAAAAAACAACAACCCCCCCCCCCCAACCCCCAAGAGAATGAGCAGACGGACATACCAACTGCCTACAGTTAGTAGAATTCATGTAGAGATCCCCACTTTCAGCTGGTACAGGTTAGCTTAACTCCAGTCAATGTAGTTATGCTGATTTGTGCCACTTAATCTTGTTCTTAAAACTCTCTCGGCTGTAGCCTTAAATGCAACCTGAAAAAAATACAAAAATATCTGAAGTCTTTAACGATAATTTTAACTGGCATTGTTCTGCAAGTGCCTTCTTCACATACCTCCTCTGGAATCTGTAGGGAGGGCTATAATATTTTATAGGGCAGTTATTCAATTATTGACTCCAAAGAAGAGATGGACTAATCAGAGCAAGCAAGACCAAAGGAGCAATAAATATTAGAGACAGCACAATGATTAGAGGGACACCATTATGTGAATCAGTGTGTGTGGCTACAATCAAAATGTTATGTTATACTTGCTTGGTAATTCACAGCAGAAGCACACATTTAATATGGGAGAATCAGGGGCCTGCAATCATGTAAATAAGGCAGCTACGTCAGAAAACCTCCCAATTTCCTAGTCTGTTAAATTCCATCTGTTAAATGCTATCTACAAGGTCACTGGAGTACAGACCTGACATTTTCCTTATGTTAATAACAACTACATTCTCCTGTTACAGGAAGTATTTCATTTTAGGCTACTCTTGATCTTGGTCTAAAATAAAGGACACTGCTTAAAAACAAAGGGCAAGGATCAGTTTCAATGACAAAAGCTGCCATTTGGCAATGCCAATTCTGAAATTAAATCATTATTTTTGATTCCATGCTGTTAGAGAAAATCATTGATTATAAAGAAATCAAATTGGAGAGGGAAAAAATGGTTCTTTGCTCAAAGCACAAACACTATAAGCATTTTTGTAAACAAGAAGGATTCAGTGGACAAAGCATCAGTGGAAAAAGGTAGCATTTCAAAAGTAAGTAAGTAAAGGAAGAGTAACAGTAAAAATGAGCAAGCAATATTCAGTCATTGTCAAGCCTGTATTCAGTCATTGTGGGCTTGATCTTGAAGGTTTTCAGCACTGAAAACCTTCAGCTTTCAGTTCATGAGAGCATTTATACTTCAACAGACAAAAGGTCCAAGTGACTTACGGCCAAAGTCTGCCCTGATATAATATCAATAGCATTGCACAGACTGAATGCCAGCAAAATATCACCTGCTGTGTATTGTAGGCTGACAGAGGCAATTTTAATACTTTGATCAGGTTTGGCTTTGTTTTTTTTTTTTTTTTTTTTAAGTCCAATCCCACCTTTCCCACTTTACCACACTCTTTTTAGTTTAACATATGGGAACGGTTTATATGAGTATGTAGAGCATGGAAATCAAATGCAAGCACAAGTTCTAGCAGCTGGAATTCATGATGTTCCATATTCAGGAAGATAGTGGTGATTCTTTTGCACACTTTGTAAAGAATTAAATTAATGATTTGGGGGGAGGTAAGGATAAGAAAAAATGCTAACATATGGGGAGCACAGTCCAGTCTCATTAACTTGCTGTACTTTAATAAGATACATCCACTTGTCTGCTGTTCTATATTAATATTAAAGAAAGTTAGCAGGAAACAAGATACAAATGCAGTTAATTATGCACAGTATGTTACAGATAATAAATGATTCTGCCTTATTTATGACCTATTTGTATAAATCCAAATATATGGTGCACCTCTGTGGACTATAATGTCAGTGGAATTTATACCCATTTCTGTCCTTTGATTTTTTTTTCTATCCTTGTGTGCCATTAATGGATGCAACAGTAGATAGGGCTATCACATTCAGCACTTAATCAGCATTTAACCTGTAGCTACCCTTGTATATAGACTATATGACATGAGAACAGGATCATTCCCAGTCATATTTAAAGGATATGAATTAACCTGGGCAAACAGCACTGTATTCTGTTCTTTTTGACCAAAAACTAAGCTCAGTTCTTTATTTTGTAGGATGGCTTCCGATAAACAAAACATTACTTTTATATGCAGGTCAGCTAGTTGGGCCTCAGATGCATGACAAAGTAATCATTTTTCATGAGCAAAGTGTAGAGCATGTTAAGTTTAGGAGCAGGTACTAAAAATAGCCCTTTTCTCTGTAGCTGAAGGAATAAAGTCCTTATTGGATTTAGCCTTTTATGGACCTAACAGGCAAATAAATAGAGCCCACATACAAAATAATGACCCCAAAACCATCCCAAACCATTAATGTGACTACTACAGGTGTTAATATATGTGCTCCGGGCGTGGAGGAGGGGCTTTAGATAAAGTGCCCCGCCACCATTTTGAAGTGCGGGGACACTGATACACGAGACACAGGAGGCTGCTGGAGCACAGTAATTGCCACACTCCAACAGACTCTATCAGTTGAGTCTGCTCCAACGCGCTGGAATTACAGTGCCTCGGAGCAGCCTCCCTGCTCATGTATAAGCACCCTGGTGGGCAAGTGGAGCTCAAGTCTTAGCGGATGCCTAAAAGCAGGTACTTGAATGGAGACAAGGGGGCACCTCCACCTTCCCCCTCTGCATTCTGCATCTTCCCTGCATCAGCTCTGGGAGCCAGAGGAGCTGGGAGGTTGGCATGAGTGAGAGTCTGACTTCTAAGGGAAGGCGCTGCTATCGGGGGGAAATGCCCATATTGCCAGGACAAGTAGCTTGCCCTGGGCACAAACTTTACCATTTATACATCTAAATGTAATAATTTACCAAAACTACTAGGTCCCTCCCTGTTTGTCTTTGAAGACCTGGGTGCCAAGAGTTCTGCTTCTCTGCATGTTCAGAATTATCCCACTGTGAGCAGGTCACCAGTGCTCCCAGGCCTGTAACATGGACTGCCTAAAAATAGCTGTTGGATTAACATGAAAAAATAAAAATCAGGGATCAGTCCCTCTTCCTATGTAAGTTCACTAACTGCCAGGTTACAGAATATGCTCGCTTTTGTTTTGCTTCTCTCTAGCCCCATGAATCTTGCATTCTTTCCAACACAGGGGCACAGCCTCAATGGGGAGTGAGAGATGCAGATTTGAACTCCCTTAACTTGATGAACAGTTAAAACCAAGTCTCCCACTTCCTGGGTAAGTGTACTGAACCCTCAATTTTCCAGTTTGAGGCAGGTTTTCCTTCTTTTCTTTCTTTCTTTTTTTAAATGGAAATAGCTCCAAGATATGGGTCCTCCATTTTTAATTTTCCAAGAAAATTTAAAAAGAGAGAAAAAAGGGAAGTGTCGGTTTGTCAACCAGAGATGGGCAAACTGCAGCCCATGGGCTGGATCCGGTTGGCTGTGGAGTCCGTTTCCTAGCTTCCCCTGCCCTCATGGCTTGGGCTGGTCTCCATGGAGACCCCAGCTCCATCTGAGTGATAAAGTGCAGGCTGGGGTTGCCATGGAAACCAGCCTGAGCCACACTGGCAGCCCACCGAAGCAGAGCAGCGTGGGGGCCTGTCTGGAGTCGTTGGGAACTTGTAATGGGGGCAGCTTGCTCTGGAGCCAGGGCAGAGCCACAATCTGTAGCCTGCATGCTCTGGGCAGGCAGGGGATCATGGTTCTGCCCTGTCTCCTTGCAGTGGTGACAGGCTGGTCTGGAGCCAGGGCAGAGCTACGATCCACTGCCTGCCCGCCCCTGCCCAGAGCATGCAGGCTACAGATCACAGCACTGCTCTGGCACCAGAGCAAGCTGCCCCCATCCCAAATTCCCAGTGGCTCCAGACCAGCCCCCCGTCCTGCTGTGCCATGTGTGTTGCCAGCATGGCTCAGGCTGGTCTCCATGGCAACCCCAGCCTGAGCTTTCCTGCACAGGTGTGGCTGGGGTCTCCATGGAGACTGGCCCGAGCC